GCGCTGCGCTGGGCGGGGGGTCCCGCCGGTTCCCTGAGCGGGAGGCCCCTGGGCGCCCCGGGGGTCATGTCCTTTCCAGCCTCGCGCTTTTAAAACCTTATGCAGGGCTGGCTACGCCTGGTTCAACAGCCTAGGGGCTAGAGAGCTTGTCGAGATTGCAGGACAGCTTGCCTCACCCTCGAGGGAGTCGGGCCTGTGTCTGCCTGGCCCCACTGCCCGTGCGCTGAGCAAAGTGCGTGTTATCCCCCTCGGCAAAGGCTGAAGCACAGTGCAGCACAGGACATGGATGCTGCGTCATATCCAGCAGCGATGGCAGGCCTGCAGAAGCTCCAAGTCCCAGTTGCTTCTTGTCAAGTTGCCCATGCACTTGATATTTAGCACTACTTAGGTGAAAACTGGAGATGCTCCTGAACAAATCTCACCGACGCTTTTCTCAAAGGCCTTAGGGTGTCATCCACGATCCAAGGATTGTCATCCTTGCCTTGAAATCTCCCTTTCGCCAGCCAGACATGGTGGGAAATGCTGTGACCCTGTGTCTTATTCCAGTGCAGCTGTTATATGCAAACCTCAAATCATTCTCCTCTGTGGGGAGCTTCTGTCTAGACAGGGACGTAATGAGCAAGGCAAGAGGGATGTCCTGCTGACAAGAGCCCTTTTGAAGATGCAGTCCAGGCAGCAGTTGCAGAGCTGTCATCGCCACTTGCTCCTGGATAACACTGAGAGAGGGAAGGTTGGACAGCCTAAATCTGAAAGCTGTCACCATCACTTGCTTCCTTTCTCCTCACCCTCCAGTGACTTTGACTCCCTGACTCCATGCTGTGTCACTGCCAAAGCCCTCTATGTGTCTGTACCCTGGGCCTTCTTACCTGGGGTGCGGAATGGATGTGCAGCCTTCCCATGACTTTATCTGGGCAAATTAATTTATTCTTACTAGATACAGTAAGAATCTAGTTAAGAAGAAACAAACTTGTATTTCTGATGCCTTCGTCACTGCTGCGTCCACAGGGAGGGTATTGAGCAAGGTGGACCCATGCCCTGAGGCAGATGGTCTGCAGAACTTTTGCTCAGGCTTGGAGCATCTTAATCATTTCCTTGTGCTTTTCTCTGCTGTTGACAGTCTTGCCTCACACAATACAAATATTGCTGAAAAGACCCATTTTTCTAATCCTCACTTTGTCGTCTCCCGTTTGAAAACTCTCCTTTGCTCCTCCAGTTACCTCATTATAAACAAGCTGGAAGGTTTTTTGTCTTAGGGTCTTTGTAGCATTTTTCCTCCTGGCATCCCCTGCCCGAGTGACTTGTCTTCTTTCTGCATGTTGACTTTCTTTTCCTTTGAGGAAGTAATGGCCTCAGTACCCACTTCTGGGAGCCTCAGTGTGAACATCTCATAAGTTCAATATCATAAGAACAGCTGTGCTGTCATTACCATATCCTCTCTGCCCCCAAATTGTGTCTAGCTCCACTACCAAAGGAAAAAAAAAAAAAAAACATAAATCCATCATTAGATTTAGAAATATAAATATGGCATCTGTGAGTAACTTAAATACATCTTTTTTGAATCTACCTTCGTTATAATATCATTTGATTTAGTCATATTGATTTTATAGTCTTGCTTGGAGAATTTATGTCTCTATAGCAAGCCAAAGTCAGGATGTAACACTACTGTGAAAGGAAAACGTGGCTAAAAAGAAGGGAAATTTCTGCTATAATATATAGTCCGACACCAAAGCCAAGTCTCTTGGCAATAAGGGGCAGGAATGTGTGCAGAATCTAGATGATAATCAGGCTCTGAGGATAACCCTGTGCTAATAAAGATTCCACAAGCTGCTGGTAGGATCAGAATTTGATGTGGGAAAGCTTATGAATGAATTCTCGTTAGTTCTAACAAAAGATTAAAAAAGGATGATTATTTGATAAAACACCTTGCTAAATCATTTGGTGTTATCATTGAAAATATATTGCTTCTTGAAGGTAGAATGTGACTTTCGTAGGAGGCGAGCCCGTGTGTCTTGCTTTCTGTAAGGAAAGTCAAGAAAACCCAGCCCATACAGGGAGTGAAGCTGTGTGCATAACCATGCAGAGTGTTTTATCTTAAATCCCAGGTATTCACTGCATATTGGAATATATAACTTAGCACTACAACTATATTGCTATTTTGCTAAATTCACTGTTTTGTCATTTTAAAAGTTGAACAGTAAGAGTGCAGATTCATTAGGTCTATTAAATACACATAGAAAACCATATAACTTTGCAAATTTATGCATTTATGTTTATATAAAAGAATCTTTTCACTTAAACTTCACGTTAGACTTGATTGGAATGAGTCAATACATACTCTTGGAGAAACGTTTTAGCATTATTTTGTGGAAGTTCTGAGATTTAAAAACCGCGAGCAGAAGCGAGAGACTGAAGCAAAGCCTGTAGCCTCCCAGATACCTGTTCCAAGGAGAGGGTCACCTCCAAGGGCAGTGGCCTCGGGGTGGGACTCCCTGGCGGGCCCTGCGCATGCGGTCCGGGCGCGCTCGGTGTCGTGCAGCCCCCGGGGGTTTGAGGTGTCTGCAGAAGCTGCAGCGGTGCCACTGCTTGTGGCGCGGGCGCGCACAGTGCTGGCGGGGGCAGCGCGTTGGTGGTGGCTGCCTCAGGCAGCAGCGAGGGAGGCCCCGGGAAGCAGAGTGAAGCGGGGTGCCAGATGACAGGGGAAGTGGCAAGTGGCAGCCCAGCCTGGCTGTCACTGCTGGCGCTGGGATGAGGCTTTGGCAGGAAAGGGAGGCTCTCTGCTCCCTGTCAGGAAAATGTGACTCTCAGCAGTCAGATGCGGTTCTATTGCTGACGTTGCTGTGTGCACTTTGCATCAGTGCCCTCGCTAATGGAGCTCGGCTTCTGGGAAGCGTCGCCTTCATCTTCCCGCCCCCACAGTTCCTCTGGTGCTAAGAAAGGCCTGTGATGAGTTCTGAAGGAGTGAGACCCTCACTTAGCTGCTTCTGCTCGGCCTCCCTGTCACGTGAAGGGATCCAGTGCCTGTGTCGGGGCACCCTGTCCTGCTGCAGCTCCAGGATCACAACCAGCCGAAGGCTTTGCTGGGAACTGAGAACTGGCTGGAAGCTACTCAAGGGCAAAGATACCCTGTTAGCACAGGATGCGTTGTTCTGTTGCCCTGCCTGGGCACGAGAGGAAACTGCTTGTGCCTGATCAGAGCGAGGCTTTGCAAGGCCGAAGCTGGATAGTTCCGGCCAAATATACAGGATGTGGATGAAAAGTAACCAGCATGAAGCACAGGGTTGGAAGGGAGTCGTGGGACACAAAGCTGCTGTTGTCTAGATAACTGTATCAGTCATACAATGTAGGGTCAAAACTGCCTAGGTAACAGTGTTAGAAACACCAAATTTGGGAATGGATGTAGCAGATTTGGGATAAAAAATTAGGAGGGGCAGCTCATTTGTTTGGGAAGAGTTTGGGCAGAGAAAAGGAGGTTGAGGGGTGGTAAAAAGATAAATTCTTGGAAATAAGGTTTGGTCAGTGGAGAACAAAGCAGAGTCCTTCTTGCATAGGAGCGAGGATGCCCCGTGCCCCCAAGGTGAGAGGAACCCCTTGGGACCCCCACTGGCCTCTCACCGGGTTTCTGTGCAGAGGACTTGGCACAGAAGGTTATTTCTTGGCCAGTTAAGGTACTAGTGGTCTCTTAGTGTTGTGCTGTTTATGAAATAAGCATTGTAGATGTCTCGGTCAGTTGCATCTCGGATCTCCAGTCTGAACAGGACTGAGGCAGTAACACATACAGCAGGAGCATTATTTTTAATAATGTGCATGTTTTACAGGCACAAAGCTACAAGTACTGAGATTCACGCTTTACTGCTTTGCTCAATAGGTGTTGAAATCAGCAATATTCCTTCAAACTCCAGTCTGCACTTCGCAAAGTAAAGGCTTCATCCTGCCAGGCAGTAGTATTAAATGGCAAAGTCATCATAGTTCCAGTGCAGCGTAGCAAGGAGCATTTAAAGTCAAAGTAAACTTATAATGCAAATGCATAAAGATGAAATGGTGATGGCTTTTTTATTTTTATTAAGCCCTAAATGGGGATTAGAGTCTTGTTCTGAGCTGCTCTGCTCCTTGTTCAAGCATCCCTGGCTGAAAAACACAAATGTCCTTGGAGCAAGAAGCAAAACTCTGCAGGACTCACAAATCCCTGGCAGTCCCCGTCTCGCTGTGCTG